AGCATCAAATCAACTTAATGTGTCTTAGAAAGTAAGGAAATTAAAACAATTTAAAAACCAGGTGGACATCTGTTTTGTAAACAAAGCTCCTCAACCAATGACAGCGTGTTAAATGTGTGAAGTGACGAAGACGAGCGTCAACACACTTTACAACAAGCGCTGTTCCGGATTTTAAAAAAAACATACTTCGATGTTTCAAATCATTATCAAATTTGGAAGAATGGCAGATAAAATAATGTTCTTCATGGCAGCTTATCTCTTTAAGGGGTCACCAGAAAAACTCGGGTGATTTACTTTGATCCTCTTTTCAAAAAATTGTCTCTTCAAAATGCATAAACAAAAATTAAAAACTGGAAGACGAGGCTGTAGCTAACTACCTAACGGCAGCCCGATTTGTTGAAATTCGTAAAAATAACGAAGCAGGAGGAAATTACAAGCAAACGCACCGAGCAGCCTTGCAAAATCTGGTCACAGCAGTTTGGGAAGAAAATGGCAGCAGCTGCTGACAAAATGTCAACATCCCTACTTAATATATTAAATTTTAAACCCCACAATTTGTTCTACTAAAATCAAAACAGTACAGGCCAAGATATATATAATTAGATGGAGTTAATTAGAGGCTTGATTACAAGCCATAAAATTTTGTTTATTTAAATCAATAGGTCTTAAAACTTCCAACAWATGTTTTATGTCTTCATTTGTTTGGAAAAGCTGCACAGCAAAAGTAAGGCACATATAGTATTTCAGTCTTCATAGCTGCTCACTGAAACCACTGCATATCATTGTGTGACAAGTAACTGTGACTATTTTCCAAAGCTCTTCAAAGCTGTGAGTAAAATGTACCACATATAACTGAGGGTAAGTGTGTGAATTTTAATATTCTCATTTAAAACTCTTTATTTAGCCAACGTGACTTTTACCAACCCTTGTTTGTTAGACCCCAGCAGTGGAGATTTCCCAACAGACTTCTCCGTTGCTGTGAACTTCTCCTGGCTCTTGAACCACTCCAATCGACTCGGCCCAGTATGACTTCCAGTTCTCAGGACAAAATATCTTCTGTTGTTCTGCTCCAACTTCCCCAGATATCCTCCTTTCACCACATCAGCCTGTGGCCTTGAGGTTGCCATCAAAGCACCAGCCAGAGGAACCAGAGGGACAGAGGACCGGCTGGTACAGAACAGCTCCTCATAAAGACGACACGAAGGGGGTTCTTTCGACTGCATATCAGCTCGATGATCATCAACGTCATCATCATAGCAACGACCACTCCAAGAAGGCAGAAGGGCAGATTTAGCTGGCAGCCATGTTGGAGTGCGGTGGCAATGGTGGGACAACTGAGGTGAACAAGAAGGTCCAACTCTTGTTTGGTTGGTGCAACTATCTTGTACTTCAGCCATTTTACTCAGGACAGGTTGAAAATCTGCAATATGAACACAAACAAACAAACAAAAAAAGAAAATACAAATGGCAGGCGAGAAAAAAAAAACTTTATTTTTGTCCAAAAAGAAAACAAATTCAACTGAATGTTTCTAAACTGTATAATGTGTCTGGTAATATTTTCTGGAAGTTGTTTTGAATTTAAAACTAATTCAATAACAGTTATTTTTATCCCCCTCCCGACATTCACATATTKTATCACCACAGTTTTCTAAATGTTTTTGCAAATATGTTTTAGTGGACAGGATCAGATCTCCAACTTTTTCATATATAGTAAATTATCAACTAATATGTCTTTAGGTTTAATTTAAGCCAAAATATGGTCAAATAAAGTGTTACGCTAATGTCAATAAAGTAGGGCTGCCACGATTAATCGATTAATTGACGACTAATCGATTATTAAAATAATCGATGACTAATTTAATAATCGATTAATCGTTTTCTTTTTTTGTTGTTGTTCTTTATCTTGTTTTTCTCTCCAAACTGCTTTGACACCTTCCACTGCCACATCTGCCTTTCTGTCCTTGACACACATACAC